GATACCTGAAAGGTAAATGCGAGCAATACTTAGTTCCAGTAAGTGCTGACGACAGAAACAGCCGCTCAAATTGTCGCCGTCGTGCGGTGACATTTCTTTGCTGGTTGGGTAGCGTCATCACCGTCACCACCACTCTCCGAACTTCCCGCCGCCGCTCCATTGTCGTTCGCACCCGCCGCCTGCGCGCGAATCCCTCCCTTCCCTTTTGATGGTGGCAACAAGGTACCGTTCTGCCAGTGTTTGTGTCAAATCTGGAAGCAGGAGACTACCTCTCCGTTTACCGTGTGCTTGACTTTGTTGAACAGGTACACGCGTGTTGCGTGTGGCTGCTGGGATCGAGAGGGGTGGTTGCAGGCACCACAATAGAAGGTAGTCCCCCCCCCCCACGAGCCTCATCAGACCCGTTGAGGACCGAGCAGACCTTGCACGCGCGTTACCGGCGCTTCCTTCCTTGGCCATTGTTCCCCTCTCGCCACTCGTCCACCTGAACAGGCACGTGCGCGCTTAGCCTGGTGGGCTTGCCGTCTTTGCTGCGCAATACGTCCTAATCAGACTCTTGGAGCTGCACCAGCTCCATGTGTAGCTGTTTCAGGAACTTCGCATGCTTCATTTTGTTTTTCCCTTCCATCGCGGGTCTGCAATTGTAAACTATAAATGTGTTTTCAATAGCAAGGTTGAGAAACCCCAAGAAAAGAGATTGGTAGTATTTCTTGTACTTGAGAGCAAGTTGGAGTAGATATCTGCAATAACGTGAATAATACAGGATTAGATAAACCTTATCGTGTACATACAGGATATACTTTACCTTTGAAGACGGAGTTGGTCCTGGACGTCGACTCCGCCCATGAACGTCTGCTAGTCCTTCAGTATCTTCGGGCACGCCACTTCAACCCTTCGCCAGATTTGTCACGAAGGACGACGCGGTCCTGCTCGACGCTTCCACCGGCGCACAAAACATGAACTGGGCGGTTGTCCCACCAGCGTACTGCATGTATACTGGGAACTAAAGTTGATTGTACAACCGTATACGTACCACGGCCCACACTTGCAGGCTGCGTCTTCTTCACAATAATCTCTACGCACAAACTACGCCTATTGGTCACCACAGTGCCAATACTGTAGAACCCCAGCGCCAGAAGCTGCATTACCAGTGCTAGTGACGTGTAAAAGCGATCCGTAACGATTAGCCGCTTTTCTGCTGGTCCACTTGTGCCAAAGACCTCAATCAGATTTCGGATAACCGCGGCTGGCCCTGACTTGGTGTCTTTTTGCGCCGTTGTACCACTGGATTGCCGCTTGCCGTAATACACTTTAAACCTGTATGATACATGATAGTCTAGTTAGTAATGTGTATGGTACAGGATAAGAGAACTTTACAACCAAAAAAAGGAGTGTGCCCAAAGGCACGCTCCTCGTACTAACCTTATGCAGTAAGCGGATGCAGAACAGCACAACATGAACAACTTGCCCCCCCCCCCCCATTTATGGGGTTTGTCCTTCATGTAGACTCTCAACTTGTTGAACGACGATCTTGACGGCAACATGGCCTCGTCAGGAGGTGCAACGTATCCCGCTTTGAAGCGAGCTTGGAGAACATCAATCACTGAGCGAAGCTTCCAAGCGCGATCTGTAGCAGCGCGAGGGTCGCTGTTGCTGTTGAAATGTAGATTCCACGATATGTGAATGAAGCGGTTTCTTGTCATGAACAGCCCGAAGTGGCCGCGTGGGATGGCCCCCTCGTCGGTCGGCTTCCAATGGTTCTCAATCTTTCCTTTGTTGGGCGAGATTGTCCTCGCAATGAGGTGCCCCACAAATACACAGAGTTCACGCGCCGTGATGGGTGAAGTCTGAAGAAGTGACGCCTTGATCACAGCACGTGAACTTTTTGTGAACCCCGGATTCTTCTTTTCCCTCTCCTTCTGCTTTTCGTACTGGCTTTCCACTCTTTCATTAATTTTCTCGTCGAAATACTCGTTGCTTGCCTCAGCTATAGTCTCCCATAATCGTGGAGGACAATTGTAGAACAGTGCACCACTTACAGAAGACGCAGCCTCAAGAGCACTGGCGCTGGGGCCATATTCGCCTTTGTACAAGCCTGGATACTCGTCTCGGACAGACGCCAGTGTTCGTGACTCATACGGTTGGTACAGGTAGGGAAACCGACTGTATGATGCAGGTTTAGCCCACCCAGAAATTGACATATCCTTCAGGATGTCGGCGCTTATTGTACCGCTCGCAATACTCGATAACCCCCCAACTGCGTCGATCAAACATGCGTCGAACAGAGGATCATCAGCTTCTTCTTCGTCCTCGACGTGGACTTCTTCGGCAATGTCATCCGTTT